TGTGTGTCACTTTTCAGGAGAGCAAAATTGGCTCTTGCCAGTGTCACGGAAGAGGATTCGACAAGCAGCACCTTTTTAAGTTTGAGTCCAAGGTCACCCATGTTAAGAAGGTGAGTAAGTGGTGTTGGGGATCGACGCTGATACGATCCAGGATTATAACCTTCCTCCTTGTCAACCACTAAAAGCTGACAGGAATTAGTTATAAACAGAAAAACAAACGACTAATGGGATCGCACTGAAATATTCCTCTTCTAACAGATACTGGTTCCGAAATCAGCAGATTGTGGAAGTTTGATTTAGGTTGAGTCGCGTCCACAACAGGTGTTTGCTACTGATATGGCAATGTCCCCAGCCGCTAAAGAATGAAATATCTATATTTACTACTTTTTATTTTGGGGTCACATACAAGATGCCTGGAATGACTGTTGTCTGCATAATCACACAATGTAGGCTGTCAACATACTTGAAAACATTGGGTGCACTGTTTTATGAGATGTCGCCTTTAAAAAGCGGTCAAAGTATCGTGGTGACCTTGAAGATAAGGTCAAGGTCACCCAAAATGAACTGGTGTCTGCCTATTCCCCAAATGTATACTGTCACCAAATTTGAAGACATTGGGCACAACAGTCCATGAGATGCCGTGTTAGATTTGAAAAGTGTTCACGCCTTGAAAATAAGAGTTTGTGAAAGTGGTCAATGTGTCGTGGTGACCTGGTCAAAAGATAGGTCAAGGTCACCCAAATAAACTGGTGTCTGCGTAATCCCCAATGTAGGCTGTCACCAAATTTGAAGACATTGGGTACACAGTGCATGAGATATCACGTTAACAACAGTTTGAAAAGTGGTCAGTGTCAAGGTGACCTCGGAAAATAAGGTCAAGGTCACCCAAATCGACTGACGTCTGTAATCCCCTAATGTAGGCTCTCACCAAATTTGAAGACATTAGGTACAACAGTTCATGAGATATCGCGTTAAGAATGGGACGGACGGACGGACGGCTAACCCAGTTAGCCAAAGTGACTTCCATGAAAATATCGAATGTTAATTTGAAGACCTCCAACGCCTGAAAGCTACGAATACACAATGCAATTGGGGAAGCGGTATAGGCACTTTTTAGTCGTATCTGGGAAGTGAACCCAGACTATTGGAAATGCAGTATTAACGCAAATGGCACCAGATGTAGCAGCTGATAATATAAATAACAAGATCAGGCACCAGATGTATATGGCGGCGGTCTGTAAATAATCAGTCTGTAGACAATCCAGTGATCAATACAAGCATCGATCTGCGCAATTGGGAACCAATGACATGTGTCAACCAAGTCAGCGAAACTGACCACCCGATCCCGTTAGTCGCCTCTTACGACCAGCGTAGTCGCCTTTTATGGCAAGCACATGGGTTGCTAAAGACCTATTCTACCCCGGATCTTCTCGGATCACAAATAACCAATGGGTGTGTCGGGTGGGTAGTGATGTTTTTTGTTTAGTTTTTAAGGAGTAGAAAAATCAATTTTCTTTATGAAACGTATGATTCGGCCTTTGTACATCCAGCTTCGCACAGCTTACAACAAAACCTGTATCCAGGTTAGAATTCAAACAGGATCAAACACCGATATCACCCGACCCTGGCGCCGTCTTAGATTTGGACTTGATTACCTTTTTCAAACCATGGGTCGGAATGAACCAGAACAACAATCATTGTAATTGCTTGATTGGTTTTGGTGTTTAACGCCAGACTCGGGTCGGGTAGTTGGGTCTGGACAAAACAATCCAGTGATCAACAGCATGAACATGGATCTACGCAATTTGTATACGATGACATGACTGTCAACCAAGTCAGTGAGTCTGATCCCGTTAGTTATCTCTTACGACAAGCTTGGGTGGTGAAGACCAAATCTAACAGGGATCTTCACGGACTCCCCGAGATTGCAATCGCCAGGTAAAGACCACTAGTGCTTCCAAACTATTTTAATGGAAAACGTGATGGGTCTTTTTCATCAGTGCCATTGGTTGATGAATTGACTTGGAACTATACTCAACATCCTCACCGCTATGGTTATTTGGGTATAACTATAGTTATTTGGGTAAATATACATTAGACGTTCATCGTCCACAGAAATGTTGATAGTGAATGTTTCTTTCTTTACAACAGTAGACGTTGGAGATACGAGACTGGACAGCAGTGTATAATTGTGAAAGTATATTTACTACTAAAGTACTGTAGTATTACACAGAGCAAATACATGATATTATTTCAGTAATCGGCCATGATAACACTGTAAGCCCTTGAATGACAACAGTACGTCCTCGCCACCAGGAATAATGTCCAATCAATACGTCAATAAATATGTACTCAGAATATGAAGGTGTTCTTTAAAGATAATTAGAGACACTATAAAGACGTACAAATTGCCCAGTAAAGATACGCTCTGTCACAAGGCATTGTCACTGCATCATGTTATAGCGTTAGGTGTTTATATAAGCTTCAATTGTACATTTCCGTGGTTTTCCATTATTAAATGATTATGGTATGTTTTCAGCTTTGCGCATCTCAAGGACATGCTTTTGCACTGTTTGCTTCACAGGTCCTTTGACAGTTTTGCAGAAAGTGAATGGAGTGAATTTAGTTTTACGCGGCACTCATCAATATTCCAGCTATATGGCGGCGGTGTGTAAATAATCGTCTGGACCAGACAATACAGTGATCAACAACATGAACATCGATTTTTTTGCGGAAAGGACTTATCGTGAATACAGGCATAAACAACAAAGGAAGGCTTGTCCTTTTGTAAAATATATTCGTCAATTGCTGAAGAAAAGAGCATTAGTGAAACATATTCCTGCTCCCATCTCCCTAAAATACTCCCCTGCTGGGTGCCGCTGTACAAAGCGATCAAAGTGTTAATAGGGTCGTAATTCACATACCTTAAAACAGAAGCTGATATGAGGCGGACTTTTCGCAAAGCTGTCTCTGAGGTAAGAGTTGCGAAAAAGTGCCTCTGCGAAAACAGTTTTTCATTATACCTGAAAAAAAGCGAAACAAAAAAACAACCAAAAAAACAAGTTTTTCATATTAAGTCTATTTTCTAAGTTGTCTTAGCGGTAATTAAGTTGTCAACTTAAGACAAAAAGTGAGACAGGCTTGGGCTAGAATAGTGACCTGGAATGCACGTTGAAGACATCGATTAGATTGCATTATTCTATTGTAACATTTCTGACCACAAAAGTACATGTTTTCCACCTGCTCTCTAGAAACCAAAACAATAGACCGTAGTAAATATGGATGAGCTATTGTATTCAGCGCCTACAAGTCGATACCACATAACTGAACAATCGTTCCATACAAAATGTTACTTGACAGAAAACATACCTTTCTCGTTCTCCGTTGAAACTCTTGTGGTGTATTTGCATGCTTTTGCAATGATGTTGACCTTTTCTCAAAAGGGGAAGTAATTTCGTTTGTGGAGTGAGAGTGATGTCCCTTTGACTACGAGTACAAAACTGTACTGTAAAACGGACTCGTGTTTTGTTTCTAATAGAGTGGGATTCGTGTCAATTTTGTAGAACTTGCATTTTGTATGGCATTCTGTTGGAAAATAATTCAATCCATTGGTGAATATTTTATTTGAACGTTTGAAATGTATTCTTTAATGTCATGTATTGATATATACGGTGGTGGTTTCACATACTATTTCTTCCCAAATTATCGATTCTTATCTAAAGGATCGTCCCATAAGTACTAGTCAAATTGCAGTTTTTGGACATGTTGTACTGTGAATACTTGTGTTTTGTCATTATATGTTAAGTTTTCTTTTTCACATCTTGCAAAAAAAATTGTTTCAAGGCTTTACTGCAGTTTGATGCAGTCTCTCTTGGACATCCGAAAATACCATTATGATGCGTTGGCAACATACAAACAGTTAGATAGTATCCCCTTTGCAAGGTGTGAAATTCTACCCAATTACAGTTTACAGGATAAAGCTTTAAATTAATGTGAGTGAGTTTAGTTTTACGCGGTACTCAGCAATATTCCAGCTATATGCAAATAATCGAGTCTGGACCAGACAATCCAGTGATCAACAGCATGAGCATCGATCTGCGCAATTGGGGACCGCTTAAAAGTAAATATATCACAAGGTAATATTGAACAAATGCCAATAAAACATACATGAATACAAGAAATTCATTTTCGTTGAGGTTCAAAGATGAAACATTAAGCAATCATTTTCAAATCGCCAAATATCATGTAGATTTGTTTTAAATTAGATGCTCAGGAGACATATCCATTTATCTTACCTGGCAAATAAATGTCGCTTTCTGATTGGCTGAACGCTCTTCTATTATTTTCAATGTACCCCGCTTACAAGCGAGTAACATTTCAATGTACCCCGCTGTTAATGGCAACTCATTTGGTACTTCGTGGTAGTAATTTTTTATCTGGAATAACATTGAATCACGTATGATGTACGGAAATTGCCGATGTTTTGAGAATGCAAATCGATGGAAGGGAGATAACTCTAAATCTGTTTTTCTTGTCGGCAAAATCTAGCGATGGCTACAAAAAGATTTGTACCCGTGCTTCAAACAATTCAAAATTAACATTAGGGTGTTCGGTAAGATAAATACGTTGTTCACTGGTCCCTCGGGGCCTATGGGTTGATGTACCCTCGATGTTTGTTTATGTTCCCCTTCGGGCTCAAGGAACATAAACACACATCGAGGGTACGAGGGTACATCACCTATGCCCCCCTCGTGACCAGTGAACAACTTATAATGTACACCTCGGGATGATATGGCCTATTTAGTAGATACACGTCCATCAGCCATACCGCCCTAAGGTGACGTCATCAGGGCTTGATATCGCCCTACGGATGACGTCACCATAGGTCGATAGTCATCGGCTTCGCCTCGATAAATATTTAGAAACACCGTAAATTTCGCCAGGAAAAGGTACAGTGCTTAAAGAAAAAGTCAATTTAAATACAAAGTTAACTATAAAAGTCACGTTTTGTTGTTTTTTTCTTAATTTTACATGTCAATGGCATGTTCACTTGTGAACTACATTCACATTTATGACAGTTGGCAGCCGATATAACAGAATCCAGGATCAATTGTGAATTCGCCTGCGGCAGAGCCCCTAGTTATAGATAAGCTAGTAGAATTGGGCTTTAATCCTTCGTTCGCATCTTCGCATCTTCGTCTTTCTCCGGCGAAGTGTCCAGCAATCTGCTGACTTTAAAATTATAAAAATTGAAATTACCAACACATCCACAAAATAGTCTGGACACCATTAACGTATCATACTGAAAAATACTGTTCTTCCTATTACACGTGAAACACGGGTTCAGTTAGCCAGTTGTACATTAGAAACATCACACGACACATGCGAACCACATTCAAAACATGATCATTTCAATCGCCTGTTATGACAAGCATGACCTACTGAGGTGTATTACCCAGATTCCTCATGGGGGATAAGATTGTAAATGTATATTTTGTAATAGCCTAAATATGTACACACATTCAGATTCTGCAATTTGCACAAATAAATATTTGCATAAATTCAATACAAACACATTTATTGGTAAGAGTTCATTTTTTTTGTTTCCGAAACAATGGTTTATACATGTACAGGCAAACAAGGATAACTTGAGCACCGACCTGACAGTTGACCCGTAATAGCATGCATAAGTGCCGCTCACTGGCGCTTGCCATTGTTAGCGAAGAGGTCCCAGGTTGTCCGCAAGCAAGTGTAGCGCTACACCGACCACGTGAGAGTCTTATGAGCAAGGTGTGTGCAGCTACGCGCGGAATCAATTTCATCTTCATGTACTGCACGTGCACTAACCTACATCTGCGCTACCTTTCACAAACCAGAGACCATATAATAGATTATCTATTAAATGGTCTCTGCACAAACCAAATGGGTTTGCTCATTACCGTGCACCGCCTACTTCTCGAAAACGCGTTCTCTGCGCCGGTCCACGTTATCCTTGTTTGCCAGTAATTTGTTGTCACTAATGTTAATATTAAGAAATATATGCATATGAAACTTACCTTCAACACTCTGGCTTGCAACAACGAGCTCGTCTTCTTACTCAGTTGCCACCTTGAGCGCGAATGACAAAGCACGTGGTTTCAGTTGTGTTCGTGCAATGCATACCAAATGTTTTCGGTTGAGTGGTTTTAATGTTCAATGTCCCTTCATCTAGACTTTTTTACACTATTTGTGTTATCAGCTTTAGCGTGTCTCTACAATTCAAAATGTCACTATTTTTTCCAGCTAATAAGACAAATATCCTGGCATACAAAATGTATTTAAAATTATTTCATGTTTCTCCTAATAGCTATAATCAGTCGCCCAAACGCAACGCAGGGACAATTTGTGCTGGAAGAGTGCATTACATTGTGAAGGGGTGAGCTCTTGAAAACGAATATTCGGAATTTATTTTAGAAGCGTTAAACTTTAAAAACACCAATATAAATTTCAAAATAAATAATGCGAAATCCTTTATTCAACAAATTAATTATCCGCCGTATACCTCGGCGTACGTGTAAAATATTAACCTGAGCCCTCGCGATATGGCCAATATATATGTTGGCCATTTTGCTCGGGGCTCAGTTTAATATCTACTTCGTAACCTTATTGTATTTGTAATATCAATATCAGTAATAATACGAGTATTTAATCAAATGGCATTGGGTGGTGTCAAAATCTGGCTGATTCTTTTTACTTTCACCTTTACTAGCCCTGGGATAGCACTCCAGTCCGGCACCCTTACGTTTGGCGAGTGAGTGAGTGAGGTTTTACGCCGCTTCTAGCAATATCCCAGCCATATCGAGGCGGGGCACACCAGAAATGGGCTTCACACATTGTCGGGAATCGAACCCGGGTCTTCGGTGTGACGAGCCAACGCTCTAACCAGTCGGCTAATCCACCGCCCTCTTACTTTCTTATTAACAATATAGTTCGTATTATCGAGTACTTGTTGACATCCCGCCGCTGGAATATTGCTGAGTGCGGTGTAAAACTAAACTCACTCACTCGCTTGTTGATATCCCGGTGTATGGTATTTGCATCCTTTGGCCTAACTGGAAAAATCAGTTTTAGAGTTTGTCAACCTGAATTTTTTTTTATAATCTTAATTCTTTTACTGGTCAGGGGTCGCGTTCCTGTCAACGCGATAACAACATATGACTGAATGTCTGTCAATACTGACAGAACGTGTCAAGTATACTACCTGCGTGCACGATCTTGTGTCACGCTAAGTTTACTGATACGTGAAAACAGCGTGAGTTAGATCTAAAATGGTGTCAAAGTATCCACAAACACCATCCGAAATGTATACATTTTTCAGACGACATTTCTAACCGAGACAACCCTTTGATGTTACTTCATGAACTGTTACACTAAAAGAACACTACAGGCAAGCCACATGCTACTGTTTCAATTGTCCTCCATGACAAGGATGTGTTTTCGACAGGTGAACACACTATGGCGAATTAGATCGCGACAAAAAGGGTGTCAGAATAACGGACTATAATTATGACGAAAAACAGCTTTATAGCAATATTCCAGCAATATAACGGCGGGGGACACCAGAAATGGGCTTCACACATTGTACCCATGTGGGGAATTGAACCCGGATATTCGGCATGACGAGCAAACGCTTTAACCGATGGGCTACCCCACCGCCCCAGGGATATGTTGAAGTAAGATTTAAGAATACCACTTGTCACAGTGGTTACTTGGAAAGTAAGTCGCTAAGATTTGTTTTTTGTCAAGACAGTTTCGTGCATTGTTATGTTGTTTTGTGCAAGTGCTCTCCTTGAAGACTACTAGCAATCACGTCTTCAGCCTCGGTGATTTGGATAATTACGTGTCATCGTGACCCGGCGCGAGGAACTTTACTCATAACGTCAATCACTTGCAAACTGGATTATTTCCAGGTTGTTGTGTTACTAACTGAGGCGAAACATGAACCAACCAAACATTTACAAATAATTGTAAAAAAGAGCAGTGTGTTACGACAGTACAGTTATTCTGAATTTTTGAAAACGGCTTTTTACCTTGCATGTAACCAAGACGTTCAGGAAATCGTTCCCAATCAATCGTGTATATATGCTACGCCTACGTATTCTATTGTTTTGATTTGCATTGTTCAGACAGAGAATACGAGAAGCCAATATTGGTAAACGCTGATGGACGTTTTATGAATCATATCATCAAGAACAAAAGAGTAATCCGAAACTCTCATCGAATGCCTGAAACCAAATGTCATTCTAATTGCTGTGCTTTGTAAGACAAAGACCCTTAGACAGCACTAGAGGCTGAACACATTGTCCATAATGGCGACAATACAACGCTTCAGGCCGGCTTATCTGATCATCCAATTAAGAGTATGCTTCAAGTTGCATTTGCCGCGATCAGACTTTGGAATCTCCAGAAAATCTGAAGTAATGATAAAGACAAGGAAGTCTGAGCTGCGAGCAGCTCAATCAACCTGAAGAACTCCCAGTCATTCTAAGGGACATGGTCAGACAGCTTTGACCCTTGGTCAATCCGATGAATGTCCCTTTCCAGCGCTGTGATAAGATTGGGATACCTCTTATCATTGAAATCGCTTGGTCCGACCGTTCAATAGTATGTAATTCCATTAGCTGTGGGCAACGACGACCGTGCATTGAGGAAGCCCCTTTGACTTATACGTGCCCGGTCTCTATATCTGAAGACAGATATAGACTTATCGAAGAGAAAATATCTCATCTTTATCATATAAAGTAATTGCTGTATGAAGAATTTATGTAATTGAATTTCATGCTATGATTCGCCTTTACTCTAACTGAGCCGCACGTGACGAAAGCTTGGATTTGCAACACCCTAAAATAAAGGACTTTGCTGCGCATGTATTGACTTACAAAGATATTCGTTGAGAATCAATATCCACTTGACACCGTTAAATATGGTGGTGCTATTCGAGACGAATATATGTTGTGTTATCTTCTTCACAAAATTAATCATCATTCAGTCGGCGATCTAGTTTTGATAATATGAAATAATGTAATAACTCCGCAGAGGTGCGTGGAAATTGTATCATTAAGATTCTTTGCTAGTCGAAACGTTGGTAATAATACGTATCGAGCTAACGGACGCGTTGAGAACCAATGCACGCCAGAAACGACGCTTAACCCCTGCTCGCGCCTTGTGGAGAAAAGGGGTTAACAGATACTTATTTTAGTATGAAAACACTTGATATTATGAAGTGTCTATATGCAATATAAGATGTAATTGACAAATTTATCCCCTGAGTACAGATGCCTAGAGGCTTTCGTTTTATCGATAATATGGACTTGTGCGCATTGATTCGTAAGAGCGATGGTCGTTTGAAGGTAATGAGTCCACTGTCAGACGAGGATAGTGTGACATCTATTTAAGTACACAATGCCATGTGTGGGTACTCGGGGTATTTGACAAGGGACATAAACTGTCATAACATGGTGATAAAGGCAAGTGTTTGGACATTTCATTGGTGATACATTTTGATCAAATTTTGGAGGCCGCCTCCGTGTTGTAGTGGTTAGAGCGTCCGCCCGGAGAGCGGAAGGTCGTGAGTTCGTTCCCCGACCGCCTCATTTGAAAAGACGTTACATTTATGGTACTTGTTGGTCCCTAAACAACATTTCGGCATTAATGGGTACAACAAGGACTGGTCGTCATGGATGGAGTCAGTATAATGTGTCCCTGAACTTTTACTTCATCATGCTTCACTGCGGCATGAAATCTCAGTGAGCTAACCACTATAAAACCAGCTTAAGTCTGGGCTAGTACACAAAGAAATAGACATACACACACGCATGCACGTTGTCATATGAGGCGAAATATTCTGAATGCCCTGGAAGCGACGACGTTTCTGCCCAGTTTCACCTCACCTCATTATACGTGTAGTAACATTAGAAGCAAATATATTCCCAGTTAATTACGTAACAACCCCCAAAACACATATTTATCCAGCTGTTGTGAACTGTTAACCGTATATTAATTGCAAATATTGCTTTGTCTATTTATCATGCTGTTATGAAGAGAAAACCACTCTGCTGTTGAACATTGTGTATACTTGTAGATGGTCCGTGGCCTTCAGTTCTGAATAAAGATTGATTAATTGAGTTTCTTCCATTACTATATCTGCATTCATATGGCCGTTGGAAAGTTGGTATTTTTTAACAACAAATCTAACAAACATTTGGATCAAACAGTGTTTTTTCAAAGATAGAGAGTGCTTAGCCATCGCACAAAGGGAAATATTTATCACTTGGCGACTGACTGACTGACTGAGATTGGTTTTTACGCCGCGTTTAGCAATATTCCAGCAACATCACGACGGGGGACACCAGAGATGGGCTTCACACATTGTGCCCATGTGGGGATTCGAACCCGGGTCTTCGGCGTGACGAGCGAACGCTTTAACCACTAGGCTACCCCACCGCCCCCGCTTGGCGACGTTCGTAGGCACATGTGCCAAAGCCTTGTCTTAGCCTCATATCTAACTTAAAGTAAATAGTTCGCAACTAGTTTTGTTTGTTGCTTAACGACGCACTCAGCAATATTCCAGCTATATGGCGGCAGTCTGTAAATAATCTAGTCTTGACTAGACAATCCACCCGTCAACATTGTAAGCATCAATCTACGCAATTAGGATACGATGACATGTGTCACTGATGACATGATATCAGAGAGTCTGACCACCCGATCCCGTTTGTCGCCTCTTACGACAAGCATTGCTGCTGAAGACCAATTCTAACCCGGATCTTCACGTGTCTCGCATCTCGGTGATGAAGACACGTAGTATACTTAAGTCGGGGAATCACTGAGTTTGAGGTGTATAGGAAAATGTTAAGCCCATGAGCGTATAAGGCTTAGAGATCAAGGATCAAGGATTCGAACCCGAGATTGTCGGATCCTGATACGCATCTACTCAACTGAAATAGTTTGTTCGTTTGTTTGTTTGATGTTTAACGGTACGCGCAGCAATATTCCAGCTAGATGACTGTAAATATCTGATTCTTGACCAGCCAATACAGTGGTTGACATCACGAGCATAGATCTACACATTTGGGATACGTGTTATTCGTTGCCATATGCACTGTTCTGTTCA